CTCCCTCTTCTGAGTTTCACTAGAATGTAATTAGGTTTTAAAAAGTTTTCTAATTGCCGAATAATTTGGAGCCGGATCAGTGGTTGCGCTAGAGCTTAGTGATTTCAGTCAACAAGACGCATGCGCACCGCTTAAAGAGAATAGTATATTCTTTTATGCCTTTAAAAAGATATCATATAGAGTCCATACAATTTTTCAGTAGATACGGATTATGTTGTACATTTCACAAGGAGCAGTGGTAAACGGAGAGGTACGATGCTGTATGAATGGACATCGCGCGGTCTTAAAAAATCTCATAATTAGAGACTTTTTTGAATCCTAATTATACTCCTTCTTCGAGTATAAAATATAAAGGAGACATAATTCTCTCTCAAGCGACTGAAAGCATATTTTTTCGTGGTTTCTATAAGATACATTTGAATTTGCAAGACCAACAAAAATAGACAAGGAAAATGCATGCCACTTAAGTAGTCATTTCTTACCAAGTACGGTTTCTACGGGAGTTTGAAAAACAATGTATTGAAAAGCAGACATCCTGCCGAGTCCGAAATTATTATAGGATTATTCCGCAAGATAATCAGTACTACGACCGCGCCTAAGTAATCCTCCCTAATAGAAAACGCATTTCAGAATCTCAGCCAACATTTCATGAGATCGGTCACTCACTGTAGAGTGGCGACCAGGTGGTGTGTAGCACGCAGACGGGCGTGCAAGCAACTAGTGAACGGGATTGCTAGGGAACATCACACCACTAACTGCGTTGTGTCCGTTATGGCTTTCTCTTCTAAGTGAGATCCGATCCGCCTTTTCTGTAGCGTTGTGCGTATGCTGGGAACCAGGTTCTTTTTGGCATGCGTAGACAGGTTGTCTAGCTTTGTCAGCCACCACGCCTACGTCCGTCTGCGGTTGTTCTGAGATCGAAGCAAGGGAGTGAGAGAGGGTCGGGTGCGGTAGGTGCTGCAAAAGCCACTGCTGGTGCGTCCACTCCGCGGGGGAGACGCGGTAGACATCGCCGCTTACGACGCTCGAACTATCATCGTGCCGTCTCGAATTTTTCCTGGACTCCGCAACAGTGATCCTTGTGAGCTCAATTTAAGGTTAAAGTGTTTATGAGTTCGCATGTAATTGCCGTTGCAAATGTGTATATTCAAAAGGCAATTTGGCGAGCATACGTCTGCTTTCGATAAGTCCTCTTCAGGCCTGTACATTTATATGGCTATTGAAGTAATGAATTAAAAGATACGGGCAAGTAGATAATTAAGCTGTAGTTCGGGTTTGGAGAGGGGAGGAAAGGGGAGGGGGAGAGTGAAACACCACAATTCCGGTCAGCGCCCGGAATGTCAGTGAATGCCCTCAAGGAATTGTTATTGAGGTGTACCTTATACGTGCAGTTCCTATTCGACAACAATCTATATGGGCAGATGGACGGCGTAGCAGTGGGCTCACCTCTTGGCCCGCTTTTGGCGAATATATTCATGGGAAAGTTAGAAGCTTTCCAGCTACGTCACCAGATCAACGGTTTAAGATACTATGGGCGGCACGTGGATGATATATTCGCGATTGCACCGAAAATAAGTGACATCTCAATTCTACTGGATGACATAAATCAGGCGCACCCATCAATAAAATTCACTCTGGAAGAAGAACAGTCCGGTTCACTTACCTTTCTGGATGTGCCCCTGAGTAGAAGACCTGACGGCAGCATTCGACGCAGCGTCTATCGCAAGAAAACGTGGTCCGCACAATACACCCATTTTGGGAGTTTCGTACCGCTAAACTTCAAACGTAATTTAGTCGGCTGTTTGACAGAAAGAGTAAGACGAATCTGCTCAGCTGATAGCGTTGAGAAAGGGCTGAAGATCATCGAAAGCCTCTTTCGCCAAAACGGGTATCCTGATCGGTTCATTGCTAAGAACACGGCCGAAAGACCGCAAAAGCCCCGATACTGACGGCAAGAAAGAAAAGGCTTTTTATCAGGGTGCCATTCCAAGGGGACGCACAAAGTGAGCTCTTAAGAAGACGCCTTACCCAAGCTGTCTCACAAACCTTTCCAGCAGCTGATACCCGTGTACTGTTCTCCACCAGTCCCATCCTATACGGAGAGGGCAAGGACAAACTACCAGCTCAGACCATCTCTATGTGTATTTACTCCTTCACCTGCTCCTGTGGGGCAGAATATATTGGTCGCTTGATCCTCGCGCACATGGTAGACACAGACCACCGTGTAAACGCCAGAGAGGCCTTCAGAGTGATTTACAAGGTCCCATCAAGCTATCCAAAACTGCTTGGGCAGCGCTTGTTGGCTACGGCAGAGGCGGCTGCAATCAGGCTACGCCGACCGGTCCTATGCTCACAGAAGAACTTCGTACAGGTCCCACAGTTACCATGGTTCAAAGCCACCATGCTAACCACCCGTATGTAATTACCTCCGCCGGGACCCACCTTCTCCCGGGCGCTGACCGGAATTGTGGTGTTTCACTCTCCCCCTCCCCTTCCCTCCCCTCTCCAAACCCGAACTACAGCTTAATTATCTACTTGCCCGTATCTTTTAATTCATTACTTCAATAGCCATATAAATGTACAGACCTGAAGAGAACTTATCGAAAGCAGACGTATGCTCGCCAAATTGCCTTTTGAATTTTACAATGGGAATTTTCGCAACTCTAAAATGTGTATACTTGACGCGCGCAAAGGCAGTTGGGAGTCCGGTAAATTGGACTCACACGTAAGTGACTACTGAGACCAGAAAATGCGGTGTCGTAACCTTTCTGATGCCTTGGGTTGCCTTGTCTTTTGAGGAGGTAATCTCACACGGCAGCTCGACTAAAAGCATTGAAGCCTGATTCTCCTAAGGGACGTAGACCTATGGTAGGCGGCAGTGTTGAGAAGGGAATTGCCTCAGCATCATTAGTAACAAAGCTAAGTACTCGTAAGGTGATTATGTTTATTTGTTGATGCTACGTTTAGACACGAGCGTTGTGCAAACATTATGCGTGAGGGCTGAATCATCTCCTCTACTAATCTTCGAATAATTTTGAAGTAGAGATAGTAGTAGTAGATCTGGACACTCATTTCAGAGTCGCCTCATGTGAACATTATCATCAAGGCACCGATATCAGCATCTCTACTGCTGTCTCATCATTAGCAGTGCAGCAGACTCTTTGTCTCTGTGCCAGAACTACAGGCACCTCGGGTTGTCAGAACCTGGTAGCTAAACGGCTACGGACTACCCGATGCGTCTACGGTTTGCTGAATTGTGTAATAGCTTTTATCAAAGGTTTGTCACGACTCGGAAAGACTCGGATCCAGCGAATAAGCATCCACAGACTACGCAGTGGAAGTACCGTCAGACGTAGCTGAACAGTAATTTAACAAATCAGTAATTTATAAAAGGTAGTGGGCAGTGAGGATAGTTTGTCCCTTACGGCGACGTCCACCGCGTGCCCCCACGAAATTCACATGGAACCAGTGACTTGCGCGTGAACTGGTTTATAGCGAGGCAA